CAAGGGAAGTACCGAACCTTGAAGACATGAAAAGTGGACATTCCATGTCGTTGCCACGCTGTCTGACCGTTGCCCCATTCCCCTCCCCTTCCTCTCCTCCCCCCGTAGAGCGCCAAGGGGGTCCTGACCCAGCACGGGGGCATGACCTCCCACGCCGCCGTCGTAGCCCGTGGGATGGGCGCTCCCTGCGTGAGCGGCTGCCACGAGATCGAGGTGGACAACGCGAAGGAGACCCTGACGCTGCTCCGGTCGGGGCGGGTGCTGCACAAAGGAGACACTCTGACCATTGACGGGGCTACGGGGGAGGTCATGGAAGGGAAAGTCGCCTTGATACGCTCCACGTCGGACGCGGATTTCCAAAAAGTGCTGGACTGGGCGGACGAGCTCCGGCGGTTGCGAGTGAAGGCGAATGCGGATACCCCAGACGACGCCCGCAAAGCGCGGGAGTTAGGGGCGGAGGGCATTGGGCTCTCCCGCACCGAGCACATGTTCTTTGGGCCCGCCCGGATCGACGTGGTCCGGGAGATGATCCTCGCGAACGACAAGGCCGAGCGCCTCGAGTCCTTGGAAAAACTCTTCGTCTTCCAGAAGGAAGACATGCGGGAGATTTTCTCCGTCATGTCGGGCTTTCCGGTCACCTTCCGCCTCCTCGACCCGCCCTTGCACGAATTCCTCCCTTCCGACCCCAAGGATATCGCGGCACTGGCGGGACGGATCGGAAAGGACGCGACGCTGGTTGCCAACAAGATCAAGGCGCTGGAAGAGGTAAACCCCATGCTGGGCCTCCGCGGCTGCCGATTGGGCTTGGCCTTCCCGGAAATCAGCGAGATGCAAGTCCGTGCCGTGATTCACGCCGCCCTGGAAGCGAAAGCGCAAGGGTACGACCCTCGGCCAGAGATCATGATCCCCTTGGTCTCTGTGGCCAAAGAATTGGAGGTGGCGTCCGCATTAGTTCACGCCACGGCCGGGCAGGTGTTGGAGGAGAAAAAGGCGGTCCTGGAGTATAAAGTCGGGACCATGCTGGAGCTCCCCCGCGCCTGTTTGAACGCGAGGAGTCTGGCGCCGATGATGGAGTTCGCGAGTTTTGGCACGAACGACCTGACCCAGTCCACTTTTGGATTTTCCCGGGACGACATTGGGGGCTTCCTGCCCCGCTATTTGGAGGAGAAAATTCTGGAGAAAGATCCCTTTGCGACCATCGACGTGGAAGGCGTCGGTCAATTGATGCGCGTGGCTGTGGAGGGGGTGCGGGGGGCGGAGGGAGGGGACGCGAAGGCCCTGGGTGTGTGCGGCGAACAAGGGGGAGACCCGAAGAGCGTGCAATTCTGCGAGGAATTGGGCCTGAACTCCGTCTCCTGCTCGCCTTTCCGAGTCCCGATTGCCCGGTTGGCAGCGGCACAGGCTGCGATTTTACACAAGAAAGCGCACAAATAAAATACCAAAGAGACATTACAGATTGAAAACTGGAAAAAAAAAGTGACGAAATTTTGCACAGGGGGAGGAGAGAGAGAACGCAATGGATAATACAACAGATGAGGGCTGTGCACAAAAGAGAAAGGGCAAGGGGAAGAACGTGTAAAGATTGAGGAGCCGGGTTAGCCGTCACTCTTTTCAGGTGCCCCCACCACTACAAAATAAGCCATCGCCCAATCTATAATAAAGGCATAGGATTTTTGTCCATCACAATGTTGGATAGGAAAGCACGGAGGAGACTATGGAAGAGGGAGCGTTGTGATCTGACGGCATTCCCGGAAATGTACGTGGTTGATATTGGGTGCAAGCATCTCAAAAAAAGAGACACAGCACGATGAGTGTTTAAAGTAGTATAGAATAGGTATGGATGACGAAAGCGAAGGATTAAACCCGCAAGGTGAGACTTGCTCACAGGGAACGCGACCTCTTTTTCCATTTGCTTGTATCGTATCCTTCGTTCTATCCTTTCATGGTCCCCTGCAGTCTTCGCTTCTTCTCAGCAGCGTAAAGTACGCATTCCATCCACTGAAAAAGCAGTGACCCAGCCGCCCAACAGAATGGCCCCTTTAATGCGCCCGCAGCCCTCCTGTCCGCTTGAGGCACGTTCATCCTTGCAACGCCCTTCCCTTCAAAATCAAAATTTCAAGCTTTCATACCTTCGGCGACCAAGCTCATCGCATTCTTGATCGCTGTAGCAGGAGCGCCGCCCACCGCTACGGTCGCACCTGTAATGTTCAAACACCGATAATGTAAGATCTTAACTTCCCGCTCGGGACATCAAGGAAGAAGAGGGAGGGCAACGCGCAGGACTCCGGCCCCTCCCGATCCCTCGGATGGCCTACTCGCTGGCATCGCATCCACACCAGCACCTTCCTTCCTCTTACCCCCCCACCCTTTTTCCATACCTGTCACATTTCCTTCCTTCCCCCCCGCGAACATGACGCCCACGAAGGGCTTCGCTCCTCCCGCGGCATACACGTTCACGGCCTTCTCGAAGGGCCATCCGGACACCTTGGACTGATCCAACAACGCCTTGGCCGCCAGGGCGTACGAAGCGCTGTCGGTGATGACCCGAATGTTGAAGTTGGATCCACCCTTGACCGCCCCGTCTTCGACGTATAAGTCGCTGGCCTTCTCCTTGAGTTGATGGGTGTAAGGCCAGCAGGCAAGGAGGAGCAAGGGACATGGCATTAGAGGGGGTGTACTAGAATGTGCGGGGGGAGTTAGCATGCCCTACAAACAAGTGCATTTCGTAGTCACAGCCTTTCTTTACCCGCTGCCACGCAACTCCTCTCACGACATCGTCAGCTGCACTTCAATATCCTCCTCACGGCCCCCTGCTTTTCTTATTGCTGTCTTCATATTTCAACAAACTCACCAGTGCCGCCTTCACATCCGCCAAATGGAGGTCAAATGTTTCGAAGGGAACCGAATCTCCTGCCTCCAACACCTTGTCTGCCCCGCTTCGAGGCGCTTTGTCCCCTTTCGCTCCCTGCTGCAACGCCGCCGCATCCAAGTTACGGTACGCATTGCCTCCCGGCGTGACATCGTCACCGTTTAACGACCAATTCAGCTTGTAGTCAAGCCCAGGACCCTCTCGTGGAAATATAGTGTACTCATCTGTTTCCTGAAATCAAGCCGAGGGTATAAAAGTGTGATTGGGAAAAAAAGGGTAGAGCCAAAAGGGGGATTAGAGTTGCCTGCACACGTCTCGTGTCCTTTTCGGAAGTCCTGTGTGAGGACATCACACCTAAGACCAGTTCATCGTATCGGATGCTTCGTTTCATCGATGCGAGGGGAATCAAATGAGATTGGAGGATGCGTGTTGAGGTACCGTGACAGGCGTCCCAGACAAGGTCCGAGACGGTATAGAAGCAAGAGCGCCTGAGGCCCGCAAATTATGGAGGACCGCCCGCCGTCGCAAAGCTCCTTGGAAAGCCCGGACCAGCATGGTCGATTGCGCTGTCAATTTGAATGGTGAGGGCGTGGCTCGTTGCTGAGAGGACGCATTGATTGCCGAGTAGGCAGGGGCACAAGCAGAGGTGCTGCTAGCTCTGGAGGGCGAGCAAGTCGACCTTGATGCATCAAATTTTCGACTTGGAGGGAAAAAGATTCCCCAAAAAACATTTCTGGCGCAGACAAGGTTGAGACAGACCCCTTTGAATAAACGTTTGAGACACTATTCTATTTTTGACATGCCTCCTGTGCATGCATTTTGTCCACTCCACCTGTTGTGCTTCCTCTTGTGTTCGCCGCTTGTCCCAAGCACCCTAATGAAAGAGAAGTGAAAGGAATTAGCAATCACTGTCATTCTGATTGGACGAGGTTCTCCGCAAATACCTGCACACACAGGTAGTGACCGCTCTGTCGTGAAGATGAGCGCAAGCGCAATGGATGAGGCTTTGGCTTCGTACAAAGCCTTGGAAGCGGATACTCAGGAGCTCATGGCCCGTCGACAAGTTACTCTGCAGCAGGCGAATGAAAACGGGATGGTGCAGCAGGTATGCACGCATGATGATTGTTGAGAAGAAAGGAATGATAGTTGAGCACA